TTGAAAGATGTAGGGCCAATTCAACTGGCTGCTCCAGGCACCTGTGCTATTTAAACAGATAAGAGATACTTACTCCCCAGGAACTATGCAAGCAGAACCCACACAACCCTGCCCCACCCACACCCACCCCTCCTTTTCCCCTTCTGGAAAATGAAACCAATCCTTCAATCACCCCTGCACCCTCCTCTCCTGAAAAATGTGATTCATCTTTCCAACAGTCCCTGGAATAATGAACCTCCCATCCCCTTTATAGAACACAAGTAGTTTGGGGTTAAGGGCTCACACTTTTAGTTGATCAAAACCCTATTCATAGATTCCAAGGCCAGAAAGGACAATTGTGATCATCTAGTCTGACCTCCTGTATAACACAGGCCACAGAACTTCCCCACAATAATGCCCAGAGCAGAGCTTTTTTAGAAAAATGTCCAATCTTGATTAAAAATGGCCAGTGATGGAGAATTCCCAGGACCCAAGGGAAATTGTTCCAGTGGTTAATTACTTTCACTGTTAACAAAATTTACACCTTATTTCCAGTCTGAATTTGCCTAGTTTCAACTTCCAGCTGTTGGCTTATGTTAGACCTTTCTCTGCCTGATTGAAGAGCTCATTATTAAAAAATTGGTTCCTCATGTAGACACTTCCAGACTGTAATCAAGTCACCCGTTAATCTTTTCTTTGTTAAGCTAAATAGATGGAGCTCTTTGAGCCTTTCAGTATAAGGAGTATTTTCTAATACTTTAGTCATTCTCATGGCTCTTCTCTGAACCCTCTCCAGTTAATCAACACCCTTCTTGAATTGTGGCATCAGAACTAGACACAGTATGTCAGTCGCAGTCATACCAGTGCCAAATATAGCGATAAAATAACCTCTCTGCTCCTACTCAAGATCCTCCTGTTTATGCATCCCAGGATTACGAGTTCATTAGCCTCAGCATCACATTGGGAGCTCATGTTCAGCTGATTATCCACCACGACTCCCGCATCTCATTCAGAGTCCCTGCTTCCCAAGATAGAGTCCCCCATCATGTAAGTATGGCCTATGTTCTTTGTTCCTAGATGTACACATTTACGTTCAGCCATATTAAAACACATATTGTTTGCTTGCACCCAGTTTACCGAGTGGTTGAGATCACTCTGGATCAATGACTTCTTCTCTTGGATATTTGCCACTCCCCCAATTTTTGTGTCATCTACAAACTTGATCAGTGATGACTTTACGTTTTCTTCCAGATCACTGATTAAAATGCTAAATAGTGTAGGGCCAAGAACTGATCACTGTGGGTATGTCTACACAGGGATAAAAGACCCACAGCCTGGCCGTGGCTGGCCCAGGTCAGCTGACTCAGGCTCACAGGGCTATAAATTCCTGTGTAGACAGTCAGTCTCAGGCTGGAGCCAGAGCCCTGGGACCTCCACCCTCTCAGGGTCCCTCCCAGAGTTCAGGCTGTAGCCTGAGCCCGAACAGCAACACAGCGATTTTTCAGCCCTGTAGCCAGAGCCCTGCAAGTCCAAGTCGGCTGACCCGGGCCAGCCATGGGTTTTTTATCCTGTGTAGACATAGCCTGAGGGACCTCACTGGAAACACACCTGCTTGATGATGATTACCCAATTACATTTGCATATTGAGATCTATCCGTTAACCAGTTTTTAATCTATTTAATGTGTGCCATGTTAATTTTATGTTCTATTTTTTTTTAGCTAAAGTATTGTGTAGTAAGTACATTACTGTGAGAGGGAGCTGCCCAGCAGGAGACTTGAAGCTTGGCGCAGGCTTGCTATATGGGCCAACCAGAATTACCTAGCGCAGCAAAAAAACCTTAAGCAGCTGATTCCTTATAAGAGAACTGAAGCCATTCCGGGGAGCAGGGAAAGGGGGCGGATTCTGAGAAGCCGCAAGAGAGTCAGCTTGGGCAGGGCAGCCGCAAGCAGATAAGAGAGACTCTGTGAAGGAACCTTTTTCACTTGCCCAGGCTCTGAGGTAAGAGCCATGCCCTGGGACAGATTTCTGGGACTCCGTGAGTGATTGGGGCAATTCTTTTTTTAAAGTGTGTTTTGGGAGCCACCCCAGAAAGAAGCCCAAATAGGCTGTTTCTTGGTGAGACAAGCTTTCATTAAAGTTTCTTGGACTCTTATTAAAGAAAACCGCCTCCCCAGATCCTTCCAGCAGGGGAGGTAGGGAGGTCAGGTGGGGGAAGAGACAGGTCACCCTTCCCTGACCCTCCTCCAGTTATGTCAACTCTATTACCTTCTGCAACCAAACTTGTGATCTCACCCAAAAAAGTTATCAAGTTACTTTGACAGGATGTTTGATGTTTAACCATAGTACATCCCTGATGACTTCCCAGTGCTGCTGCACAGACAGTGGAGTGATATTGATAAGTAGTTCAATTACTTTCAGAAGTTGATTTAGAAAAGTTTGCATCTGGGTTTAGCTGGTTCTATTTCTTCTCTGTCCTTCAGGCCTCACTTCAATCCTGTTACAGAGAAGACTGGGCCTTATGACCAAGGCAGAAATGTTCTATACTGAGGTGAAGGTGGAGGGGAGGTGAAGCAAGGCAAGGCAAGGTTTGCTTCTCAAACCTGGCCTCTCATTCATGGGCTGGCAGAGGCTGGGAAAGTGGTGCATTCCAATTTGGGGAATGAGAGTCTTGCACCCCTCAGTGGCTCCTACTCCTGCAGCTGATTAAAGAGATTGAGGTCTCAGGGTTGTTAATGGATATAGAAAGGCATTACCTCCC